AAATTGTTGCTGCTAACAAGCCACCAAGCATGACAGAAGCTAATATTGTAGTGATTTCACTTTCTATATTTGTTCTCAGCTATAACAAAACAAATAAACAAACGAGTAAAGTTAGAGCGACCAAGAGGACCCGTATAACATGCGCCATCACATTGGATTAAAACTATTGAATCTTTAGGCATGATTCTTTATGATTGAAAGAGCAAGTCAAATCAAAATTACCTGATGGGGATTTTTTTCAATGAGAGGAGAATGAAATTTGAAATTCTCATGCTGAGGGCTAAATAAAGCACCCATAGGCATCTACTATTTCTTGAAAAGAATAAGTGAATTGTTTGTGCAAAAATAGGCAGGCTGTGATTCCTTTGTCCCTAAAACCTGAAATATCGCCTCAACTTGAGAACTGCTGCAATACTATGTGAATCTGTCAAATATTGAATAAATTAATTAGCTATGCCATCCATTAAAACCGGCATTACTCGTATGCCTCAGCACAACGCATCAGAAATTAAATCACAATTCCAGGACAGACCAGGTTTATTGCAAAAATAGGACATTTCTTTGTCGCATTCATACTTAGCATATTTAGAGTGTGATAGATGCATATTTCCTTCTTCATCAATAAGTTAAAATGCAAGAAAGGAAATGTTAGCATTGGAATGAAGATTAATTGCAGAAGCTTAGAAATAAAGCTGAAAAGGAAAACATGAAAAACAATGAAATACTTCATCTAAAATGAAACAAAACTGAAGGCTCCACTGCTCATAGTGATATCCAATTGTCTGCAATAGAGTGCTCCGGTGAAGCAATCCTGCATGGAGTCTTCAATTCTGCAAGTCTTCCTGAAACCTATCAAGTTCGTAATAATCAGTAATTAGTTTCTACATATCTAATTGCAAGATGCTCAAGACTTAAATTTAAGAATTTAAAGTAACCTTCTCCCCTGACAAAAGATCAAGAACAGAATGTTCAACCACAGCCTGTTTGACTGTCTGAGAAAAACGTTTCCCCCAGTAGCACGAAATAGAATTTTTTCGAATGTAACTGATTTTTCCCTCGAAACAAGTCCACCGATAAACCCCAGCTTAATTTGCTTTGTTGTAATCTTCTCCTGAGCATAAATTTTCTTAGCATCAGAAAGAGAACAAAACTCTAAATTAACAAATAGAAACTACAAAGCTGCAGCTAACCTGTTCCAATAATAATGGGCTATCAATAGATCTTTCAGCAGTTATCTGAAATTCAAGCTTTTTCTGGTGAGCTACGGCATTAAATTTTAGCTGAATAGAAAAATTCGCCAACCTGAAATGATATATCAAAAAAGGCATTACCACTTGGACCTCTGTTTTCTTATCCAATCAAGGAGAGAAAAGAAAAGACCAAGCTATATGATCATATATGAATGCAACTAGCCCGAGAAAAAGTTTGCTTCTGTACTAACTGTATGTATACACTTCTATTTAAAGTTTAAACACAAGAAAGATCAACAGCAGAGTTAGCCTAATCAGAAGCGATTATAGAATTTGTGGCAGTGAAGAACTTAGCAAATCATACCTTCTTTTGAACAAGTTTATGCTCTGATGGCTCATTGTAAGCGTGTTTCAAGTTCTCATTATTTGCGTTAATCTGAAGATCACGTTCAAGTTCTTCAAGTTTAACCAAGACAAACAAAAAAATAATCACCAGATACTGCGTTCTTGAACAGAAGAACCGGTGACAATTTTCAGAGCATAAAACGACCTCCGAACTTTTCAGATCAACATTATCCTCACCTGCCGGCCATGTTGAGGGTGATACACCTGCTTTCGCCATTTGTTCCTTAAACAACCGCAGCCTACGCGCCATTTCCTCACATATTTTAATCTAGATGATAAAATGATAAGTTTTTCCATTCAGAAAATCAAAATCAATTCTCTTAAATATGCTGCCACGAATTTTTTTCACAACTGTTAAACGTACGAGGATATTGGGTATTTTAGGAACATTGATAATTTCCATTAGCATACGATACCAAAATTAATAGTGTGGAGCTTAAAGTTTCCTGAAAGACATAATACTATCTACATTAAGCTGACAAAAAAAATTAAATAAATAGTTACCAATGTAAGAAACAAATAACATTCAGATAGATGAAGGCATCAAAACACAACGGAAAAAAGTGAATCAGAGCATCAAATGTCATAGCAATGTAGGTTTCAAAATTCAGTGTAAAAGAATCTAAAACAAGAGCAATGAGAACTGAAGAGGAGCCGCACGTCTTTGAATTAGAAAAGGCTGAGATCGCCGAGGTAAGAGATGGATCGATAAGCTGATTCGATTGGAATGAGCAATCGAACTATTTGCATGGGCTCTCTGACTGTAGCAGATCCATCGTTGGGAGAGAGCGACCTCGATTCACCGTTAGGACTTCTAAAAATGCACAAACACAAAATAAATTAACCAAACTGTGAGGCAAATGCTCTGGCTCTACAGAAAAAGAGTTCATTGGTAAATCAAATCTTGCCGCTATTTCCATCTCGCGGTTTCTAATGTTTTCTCAACTTCCCGCGCATACAAATAACATA